TTTTTTTTACTCAAAAAATTCGATTTTCTTGGCGGCAACCCTAAATCTGATTAGGTATTAGCCTTTCTTGCTTTCGGCACACGTTTTGACCCCGTGGGGGTAACGAAGTGCCACCGAAATTTTCTGATTTTCTCTTACTTAGTCTTTTCGGCACACTTCGACCCCATGGGGGTAACGAAATGCTGCCAAAATTTTTGACAAATTAGATACTTCATTCCTCCCCACCTCCTCATCCACTTCTTTGCTTCTTTCTTTATTTATTTATTTCTGATTTTTTTTTATTTTATTTTTTTTTGCGGCATCTTGGCACCTAGTGTGCTCACCTTGGTCTCTCCTTTCCCCTCGGCACATTCTTGACCCCGTGGGGGGTAGGGAAATGCTGCCGAAAATTTCAAAAAAATAAATATTGTTTTTTCCCTTCACATCTTTTTACTTATTTCTTTAATTATTTTTATTCTTTATTTATTTCCTTATTTATTTTTATTTTCTCTCGAAATCTTACTGTTTATTTATTTTTCTCCCACCTTTCCCCCCCTTATGCTTGCTATTTTACTTCCTTGATTAGGTCACTGGTACCCTACCCTAACCACTTAAACTTCCGTTAGGGTTTTCTTAGGGGTTTTGTAGGGTTTAGGGTTCTTTAAAACCCCCCTACTTCCCCGTCCTCTTCGGGCACCCTGGACCCGAACCACCCCTCCCCCCTTGACGGCGCCCGTGCTAGACTTGCTAGCACCATTCGCCGCTTTCTACCGCGGACTTCCCCCTACGCCCCCCGCTCACGCGGACCTCTTCTAGCCCCCTCCAGTCCGGTCCGTCATCTCCCCATGGCCGACGGTGTGTCACACGCCGCCGACACGGCGATGACCACGGCATCGGGCTCCACACCCGTGCTGGCGGACCTGGGCCATCAGCCCCAGAGGGATCTGCACACCCTCCTCACCTCTCTCCTTGCGCCCATCCAGACGCAACTCGCGACCCTTGCGCCCATCCAGGCGCAACTCGCGACCCTCGCGCCCTTACAGGCGCAGGTGGCGACCCTTGCCGCCGGCGTGCAGCATCTCTAGGATGCTGCATGTCCTCCATCTCCTGGCCCCAGTCCGGGTCCCCCATCCTCCGACAGGGTGGCCACGGCGGAGCTTCCTCCTCCGCCGCCCCCGACCCGGCCATCTTGGTGACTGTCCACGCCCTTAGCACGACGGCCGCCACGAGCCAGGCCCTCCCTCAGTCCATGGGCGCACCCGCCCAGATTCCGGTCACGACGGCCACGGGACCACAACCCGCTACCATGGTCTCAGCTTTTCTGGGAGCCCCACTTCTCCCCCCTCTTCGCATGACCGCAGCGCCATCTAGCTCGCCCCCTTGTGGGATGCCTCGTGCCGCTCGTGCATCTCCCCCTGCCACACCTCGCTCGATCTACGTTCTAGGTCTCGAGGACGAGATCGCCCAGCTGCGGACCGACCTCGCCCTCTCACGCCTTCAGCCACCCCCACCCTCACAGGTGGCCGCGCCTTCCGGCGCACCCTCTTCTTCCTCTATTCTTTCTTCCATGCAGGCTCGCTTCCCTTACCCTGCACCCTACCTATCCCCATCCTACCTCCTCCCCATCCCCTCGGTTGCTGCGACCTCTTCTACCGCAGCTCCCGCGCAGCCTACCGTTGTTTCCCCCGCCGCTCCACCATGCAGCCCGAGCGTCCAGTCAGCTGCGCCTCCTCCTCCAGGACATGCGTCGACTTATTCCGCCATAGCGCAGTCCCCTGCTTCCCCTTCCCCCCGCCGCCAAAACGGTGGCGCACCACTCATCCGCTTGTCGGACATTGCCTTGTATGACGGTACAGGCATACTCGTGTCTAGGTGGCTGCAGTCTGCCACTCGTACACTCCAGCTCATGGGCGCCACACCCGACACGTGGGTGGGTCACCTTTCCACGCGCCTGCGTGGCGGTCCTTCCGAGGCCTGGGAGGATTTCTATGCGCACTCCCTTCGCGCGGGTCGGACTCCGACCTTCATAGATTTCCAAGCGTTCCTCAAGGATCGCTTCGGAGCCCGACACGATGTGACTGACGCCTTCGAGCGTGTCGTCACTACACGCTGGTCCGGCTCTGGTGGCGCTGCCGGCCTGGATCGCCACATCCAAGTCTTTCAGGACGCCCGCCTCATTTGTGACATAGCGTTCCTCCCCGAGGCGGTCCTTATCGATCGGTTCTTGGCCAGCCTTCCGCTCTAGTACCGCTCCGAGCTATGGCGGTACGAGTTCACATCGGCCCCGCTGGCTTATGAGGCCGCCAGGGACCATCAGCGGATGCTGGCCCGTCTTCACCCCGCCTCCGCCTCCCAGCCACAGTGTACAGGTTACACCTCATCCTCCTCTCACGGCATTTCACAGCGCCGTTCCCCCTTCCGTGGTCGCCCCTGCCGTTCCGCGCAGCAAGGCCGCCACTTCTTGCGCCGCTTCAGCGCGCTCGAGTATGGTGAGCAGGACGCTGGTGCCCCGCTGTTGCCAGAGGGTGACCATAGCGACGACCTCGATCTCGGCAACGTCGTCCACCACCACCTACAAGACTCTACTCTCCCTATGGCTGAGTGCCTCCAGCTCATCCTCTCTACCCTTTCCCTCGCATGCAGCCACCCTGGTCACGTTGGCGCGTCGCCCCTTGAGGTCCCTCAGCAGGACCTCCCTCAGGGCTTTGTCCCTCCTCGCGGTGTCCTTTCCGTTGAGGAGCGTGCGACTATTTTGGGTCGACGTGGGTGTTTGCGTTGCCGCCTGGACGGTCATACCTCCTCGCGGTGCCCTTACACTACCGCCCTCGACCGCCACTACGCTGACCTTTCCCGCCAGCGTCGTGCTTAGTCCCTCCCCGGCGCCTCGCATCCTCGCGCGCCTCCTAACCACGGTGCAGTGTACACCTGCGCCCTCCTCAGTAGTCGGCTTTCAGACATCCCCGTCGCGGTTTGCCCCTATCGCTACTGGAGTTGAGGTCTCGCAGGACCCGACAGAGTGTACTCAGCCCTCTGTCGCCGTACCGTCTGCGCCCCCGCTGACCACCTGTCTCCCCTCCTTCCCCGCCACGACTACCGACGCGTCGAGCCATTCGCTCAACCCGTTGCAGCAAGCTGCTTGCGACTCGCGAGGACGTTGTGTCCTCTCTTCTGGACTTGAGCATGCTCCAAGCTCGTCAGGAGCGACTCACCCTCCATGTCGCTGCACTGCGTCGCCTTCTTACCATCCTCTCTGACCCTGATCGCACCCTCCCGATCATCCCAGTACGACTCGGGACCTCCACGAGGGTGTACTCAGCGCTGTGGGATTCCGGTTCTCAGGGCGACTTCATTCACCCACGCGTGGTGAAAGAAGCCCGCTTACCCACGACAGGGTCTCCGACTCCCATATCCGTTACCTTAGGGGATGACAAGACCCAACGCTTCTTCAACCAGACGGTCACCGACCTCCCTTTCTTCCTCACTCTCGAGCCGACTGATCGTTCTTCGGCGTCTCGTCGCCACCGCTCCTCTGCACATTTCGATGTGATGGAGATGGGGTACGACTTCATTCTCGGCACTCCGTGGTCTCGCGGGTTCCGCAGCATCGAGGTCGATTGGGTGACCAACACTCTCGTTCTCAAAACGAAGTGTGGACAGACGTATCGCGTACCTTTCATAGGTACCACCGCGACACCACGCCCGGATCCTCCTCCCCCGGAGCCTTCCGCGCCCACACCATCTCCTGCTATCACTGTCACCTCGCCTCAGCAGTTCGCTCACTTCATTCGACAGGACGATGTCACCTTCTTTATGGTGGACGTGACGGATCTCTTACACTATGATCCACCCTGTCCCGACGCCGAGCTCATCCCTCTGGAGCCAGATCCTCCCTCTATCTCCATGGCTCCCGTCTCTACTTCCGTCCCTCCGCCGTCCGTCAAATCCACCCCGCCGTCGCGCGCTGACGTTGACGCTGAGGAACTCGCACGATATACGGCTGACTTGGAGCCCGCAGTTCGTGACCTCATCCGAGAGTACCACGACGTTTTCCCATCGTCGTTCTCGTACGCCGGCATCCCAYCGATGCRTGACGTCGAGCACTCCATTCAGCTCGTGCCTGACTATCGTGTTCACCACCAGGCACCCTACAGACTCTCGATCCCCGAGGCCACCGAACCCAAGCGTCARCTTGAGGAGCTCCTGAGACTGGGTTTCATTAAACCCAGCAACTCCCCGTGGGGTGCACCYGTSCTCTTTGCTCGCAAAGCGGATGRAACTCTTCGTCTCWRCATCGRCTACCGCGGCCTYAACCACTACACGGTTAAGAACAACTACCCCATGCCTCGTTCCGATGAGCTGTTCGACCGCCTAGCAGGCAACCGCTTCTTTACGAAGATTGATCTTCGTCGCGGTTACCATCAGATCCGCGTCGCTGCAATCGACCAGCCGAAGACCGCGTTTCGATCGCGCTTCGGCCACTACAATTTTACGGTGATGCCATTCGGCCTCACCAATGCACCCGCCACCTTCCAGAGGGCGATGAACGACATCTTYAGGGACATCCTGGAGCAGTACGTTCTCGTCTACCTCGACGATATTCTGGTCTACAGTCGTACCCTTGAGGAGCTCCTTAAACACCTCCGCGACGTCCTTGACCGATTGTGCAGACATGGCTTTTACGCCAAGCTGAGCAAGTGCCGCTTTGCCCAACACAAAGTGGATTTCTTAGGACACTACGTGTCTGACTAGGGTCTCCACATGGACAACGCGAAGATCACTGCTATTGCGGAGTGGCCCGCCCCCACATCCGCCAAGCAGATTCGCAGCTTCCTAGGCCTGACCAGCTACTATAGTAACTTCATCCGGGGATATGCTAGGTATTCCTATGTCCTTACCTCCACCCTCCTCCGGAAGAACCCACCCTGGGCTTAGACACCCCTCCACGAGGACGCCTTCCGCGCCCTCAAGAAGGCGGTGACATGCGCACCGGTTCTTCACCTACCCGATTTTGATCGCCCTTTTATCCTTACCACCGATGCGTCAGACTTTGCTGTCGGAGCAGTGCTTTCTCAGGTCTTCCCCTCCTCTCCCGATTCCTCTCATCCTCGTATCCCTCGCTTCCCACCACCTACCCCTACCACTGCTTCCCGACTGACGCCTACTCGTCCAGCTACTGACGAGCCCTCTATTGACTATTCTCCTACCATCGCCGAGGACGGCACTGTCGAGTCTCGCTCAGGTGATTGTCCAATAGCCTTCTATTCTCGTCAGCTCCTGCCCGCCGAGATAAACTACACCGCTGATGAACGTGAGGTTCTTGCAGTAGTTCATGTCGCTCGGCACTGGCGTCACTACCTGCACGGGGCACCGTTCACGGTGCGTACGGACAACTCTGTTGTCCAGGCTTTTCTGACAAAACCGAAGCTCACTCCTCGACAGGCTCGCTGGTGGCGCGACCTCTCCGAGTTTAGTTTCACCACTGAGCATATCAAGGGTGAGACTAATCGGGTCGCAGATGCCCTATCCCGGCGCCCTAACCACGACCAGGAGCAGATCCAGCTCTCTTCCATCTCGGTCACCACCGTCCACCACTCGGTGATCGACGAGTTTCGCACTCAGTACCGCCATTGCCCCGACTATCGCGACATCCACGCGACCCTTCGGAGTGGCAAGACCGTCCCAAACTATTCTCTCGAGAACAACGGTCTTGTGTACTAACACGGTTCATACGGCACCAGAGAGCCCCGTATTTGTGTTCCCTCCACTGGACAGCTACGTGTCTGAGCAGTTTCAGAGTTCCATGACCAGGCAGCCGCAGGTCATATGGGCTTTCACAAGATGTTGGCTCGTGTGAGCCGCCTGTATGTCTGGCCGAAGCGCAAGGACTTTGTGAAGGACTACGTCGCATAGTGTCCCATCTGTCAGGAGGTGAACAGTGCGAACCACTTGCCTTATGGTTTGCTCCAGCCTCTTCCTATCCCTGAGGGTCATTGGCAGTCCATCTCGATGGACTTTATCGGTCCCCTTCATCCTCCGACCCCTCGCGGTCATGATGCTATCCTGGTCGTCGTTGACCGTTTCACGAAGCGTGCACRCTTTGTTCCGTGCCGCTATGCCATCAGTGCACGTGAGGTCGCCGACATCGTGTTTGACCGAGTCGTGCGTGACCACGGCTTATCTCTGAGCATCATATCTAACCGTGACCCTCGCTTTACCAGCCGATTCTGGCGACGGCTCCACGAGGTGTACGGCACTCAGCTACGCTTTTCCTTGTCTTACCATCCTCAGACTGATGGTCAGACCGAGATCACGAACAGGACTCTCGGAGATATTCTCCGAAAGATTGTTTCTGACGACTTGCAGTGGGATCTCCATCTTGCCCACGCGGAGATAGCCTACAACCACGCCGTCTCGCCAGCCACGGGGATGTCGCCTTACTATTGCGACCTCGGCTATCACCCGTGTGTTCCCGCGGACTTCCTTCGACCGTCCCAGCTGCACCCTGACACGAGTTGTCCCCCACTGGATGATTGGGTTGCACACATGACGTCGATCATGAAGACCGCACATGAGCACATAGCCGCTTCCCAGACTCGCATGGCAGCACGTGCGAACCGATCGAGAATGGATCACCCATTAAAAGTCGGTGATGATGTGCTTATCGACGCCTACCACTTACAGCTCGAAGCGGACACGCTTCGCAAGTTTCGGCGTCGCTTCTTTGGCATATGCCGCATCCTCCAGGCCGTCGGTTCTGATACGGCTTCTAGCCCGGTCAGCTTCCGTGTGAAGCTGCCCGACTATCTACGCCAGGCTCGAGTGCACGATGTCTACCACGTCTCGTTACTGCGTCCTTATCGCAGAACGTCTGAGTATTTCGCTGGACGACCATACGAGCGCCCTCCGCCCATAATGGTGGATGACCACTAGGAGTTCCTCGTTTCAGACATCATTGGTCGCCGAGTCACCAATGACAACCCTCCCCACGTCGAGTATCTCGTACGTTGGAAGGGTTACCCTGATGAGGAGGCTACCTGGGAGCCCCTCGAGCACTTGCGGCACGCTCGCATGTTGGTGCGTGCCTATGACCGTGCTCGTCGTGCTGGGTTAACTGCTCCTCATCCCATTGACCCTCCTCCTTCTCCCCCGGCTGAGGAGACCGCTAAAGTCGAGCCTGCTCCATCTGAGGCAGACCTTCAGCAGCAGCCGGATGCTTCTGAGCGTCCACAGTGCACTCGTCGTCGTCCTGCTCGATACGAGGATTGACTCTGACTTACCTTCCCACGTCTTTGACTTCTCAGTACTCCATCCACATCAGTTTTACTACTTCAGCTCGTTGACGATGCGACTCTTCCTCGACGACATTCCAGACTTCTCATTGTGGACGTCATCGGCAGCTTCATGGACCTCGTCACGATCAGCTCTGCCTACTTCAGACGTCGCCACCCTCTTACCACCTTACCCTGTATAGTACCCTGCTTGTGTCGCATGATGGTCTCTCCTTAGGCGGATTCCTTTGAGTTGGGCTCTCCCTTGGTATACACATAGGCATCGGGACCGTAGCGTTGCCCTGGCTTCCCATCTTACGCATCTAGCTCCGACTTCCCTCACTTTAGGAGTCATTTGCATGATTCCCTTACCCATCATCTTTCTACCCTTCGCCGGCCCTCACGCCCTAGTTAGGCAGCCCCACATGCTTCATCTAGGTGCGCCCAGTATACCAGGCTACCTTGTTCCCTTGCATGGTCGACCCTCCATAGCGGTCACCCCTTAGTCGAGCATTACCCGCCCTGATGGTCTATCTGTTAGGGTCATTGGTTTTGTTCGCTCCCAGTTCCCTACCCTCATTGAGCCTGATGACATGTGTTTCCCCCTGTCACTATGTGTGGATGCCCTTAGGAGTTTTCGACCCCTAGGCTGCATTCGCCACCCTCAGAGACCATCCCACCCTTTGGTTTTCGACACACTTCTCCTGTGACATATGGTTGACTTGTTGTTGCTTTCTTGCTCTCAGACTGAGGCTACTGCCTCTGACATTTCGAGGATTTAGTTGTTCTGCTTTTGCTGTTCTTAGGACTTATACACTAGTCAGATGTTCCCAGACTGAGGCTACTGCCTCCAACATTCTAGGATCTAGTTGTTACTACTTTCTGTTCTCCTAGGACATGTATGTTAGTTAGTTGCTTTTGCTTTCCTAGGACATGTATGCTAGTTAGTTGTTTTTGCTTTCACTTAGGCTGTCAGCTGTGACATTGCTGTTTTGTGACATTTTTTGTCCTAGGTTGCATTGCACGGACTCAACATGGAGCTTGCTCCGCATCCTAGACTACTCAGGTTTTTTTTTTTTTTCCCTTTGGTAGAGTTCTGCTTCTTGGCGGAAGCGTGTTTGTATCTAGGCGATCCAGCACAGGCCGAGGATCATGTAGCGGACCTCTGGTTGGCCTGTGAGACCAGCCCCTTGGCCTGTTCTCACAGGCCTTTGTTTTATTCGGGGGCAGTCCAGTCCAGTCCAGGCCGGTACCTCTGTCGGTACCAGCCAGTCCAGTCCAGTCCAGTCAGTCCGCTGGCATATACCCCAACAGTTGTCTGTTTCGTCCTCATTCTTCTTCACTTGCACATTTTTGGAGTATGTGCGTTGGAGTCTTGCGTGGGGAGCTGCGTTGTGCCATCTCGCTCCCCCCTTCTTCCTCCATCTCCATCTCTACCACTAGCGAAGCACCACACCTGGTGGGTCCGCTACAGGCGGCGGGCGTTGATAAGAGGGAACATATCGAAGCGTCCGCCGTAGAATAGCAAGAACGCATCGTTTTCCTTTTATCTTTTATTTTTATTTCGTTTTTCACTCGCTTTTCTTTTGGTGTTTTTTTTTTTTTTCTTGTCAGTCGTTTTTCTTTTCGCGGAAAAGACTTTTCATTTATTTTTATTTCGTTTTTCACTTGCTTTTCTTTTGTCCGGACGCCGCGGAAGACGAAGCAGGAAAAGACAAAAACGTTTGGAGGCCAAACACACGCCCGTCTGCCCCCACCCACCCACGCACGCACCCCCACCCACCC